GTCGTCTCGGACGAGTACGGCTGGAAGGACCCAGGGCGGTGTCGGTCTGTTACCCAGCCCGAGTACCGACCCCAGTGTCAGTCCCGCCCTCCCGAGGGCTTCACTAAAGCAAATTCCTAGGGGTCGCGTCCGAGTTCGAAATTGCTCGTATACTTGGCTATAATCATTCTGCAAGATCGTGTCCGTCAAGGGGTTGCCCGGCTTGGCCAAAAAACTAGCCGCATAACTGAGAGTAAGCCGCTCTCTCCGGAAATCGGATGGCAGCACTCCCAGCTTGCAGCAGAGGCTGGCCAGGGGGCTAGTTCTAAATGCACCCGATACTGCTCGAAGACCCTGATAGTAGAGCCTGTCCAGCCGCAAGAGGTCTTTCGGGCCGAGGAATAGGCCATACACCCGTAAAACAATCTCGAGCAAAGCAATGCTTCAAATACTTTCAGCAAGGTCTCCCTGTCCGCTCCCCACCTGAAGTGACCAATATGCTTTAAGAGTCCGAGGATTTTTCTGCAGCGGACTTCGACATCTTCGATATGTGACTGCCACCTTAACTTTTCATCGAATATGAGGCCGAGGAACCGCACCCTCTCCACATATCGAACCGGCACGCTATGAGCCCTCCTCAGTCTGCAGAAGTGGACGCCCACGGTCTTAGACGAGGAGAAGGGAAAGCCGGCTTCCTCAGCCCTTGCAGCCACAGCGTTGATCGCCGACTGCATCACCCCGCCGACCTCCATTAGATCTTTACATCGTCGACATAGAGCATTTTTTTTATCTGCTGGGGGACCAAGTCGGCGATCCCGTTCACCGCAACTAGAAAGAGCGTGACACTCATCACCGATCCTTGAGGGATACCGTTCTCCTGAACGTAATCCCTGGATAGCACGGACCAAAGCCTGACTCGGATTCTTCGATATTCTAGGAACCCACGGATAAACCGTGGCATTTTGCCTTTTAGACCGATTTCTTGACATTTCCGCAGTATCGCATATCTCCAGGTATTGTCATATGCCTTCTCGAGGTCGAAGAATAAGGCAAGGGCGTGTTCTCTGTTCAGAAACGTGTTCTGAACAACTCCCTCGAGCTGACAAGCATGATCCACCGCAGAACGATGCTTGCGGAATCCTGCCTGATACTGGCTATAAACTCCTTCCGTCTCAAGGTACCAGGTCAAGAATTAATTAGTTGATATTAAATGTTGATCTAGTGTGGGGTAGGTCGAAGCCCTTGCACAGCAGTCTCATATATCTGGATTCCTTGGGCATGTAGTGTTCAAATTTTTTATTATTATTATTATTTTTTAATTATTCAACCATTTTATGCATCCGGTTTTTTAGATTCATAATTTAGGATTCAACTTATATAACAGACTCAATAAATTGATTGACACAACTCTTGAAAATAATTCTTCACAGAAGATGACTAAAGTCTTAGCGACAAGACAAAATGAACAAGCTGATTAACAGAAGAAAACAAAATAATTTTTTTTGTATAATTACAAAAATTTGAATAGTAAGAGAAAAAAGTAAAATTACATGATTTGGATATAATTGCAAACAGGAAATCCAAAACATAATTTGAACCAAGAATAACATTAACGACTTCGTTAATTGAAGCAGTGATAGAAAACCTGAAAAAAGATAAATATGATTTTGACTGAAATGCTAAAAATTCCTTCCATCTACTTAAAATCGCACAGTATTACATCAACTTTTGCCTTTTTTTTACTAATATTCTACAACTGCAATTAATATTCTTTATTTATAATTCTACAATACAATTTATGAAATAAGTAGGTTACAAGGAAACAACTTTTACAAATAAAATTCACCTTTTATTAATCCAACCATTTTGCAAATCAAATTCAACCTTTTGCAAATGAAATCCACTTGTTATCAAATCAAACTAACCCTTTTTGTAAATAATTTTCACTCTTTTGCTAATAATTTAAGTTTTTACACAGAACTGATCCACAAAAGATTTAGTGAAACACTAGAAAAAAAATTGACAAGATTATATGTAATTAGTGTAATTAGGTGTTTTATTTCCCAAATGCATTTTATTTATAATATTGTCTTATATGATTTGTATACTTCCAAAAACTGCATGGGTCATACTTAATATTATGTTCAATTTTAGATATAAATGTTTCATAAGCTCTTTTAAATTCCACTTTTCATTGAGCACTTAAAGATTTGAATACAATGTAATAGTTCAAAGAACCGCTGAGTTTATAAATTTTATGAGCTAGCTTTTTCTCTATGATGAGATTTATTATAATGTTCACATTATAATTTAGTTTTCTTCAAAATCCACACTTACTGTTGTTGATGTACTACAGGAACAAGATAATTAAACCAACGCTAGACAAACTCACTAATTTCGTGGTCTCAGTTCAATTATCAATTATCTCAACTAAAAATCCTTAATTAATTGTAATGTATCAATTGGTCAAGCGGACCACGAAATTAGTGAATTTAATGATCTAAAATGAAGTATACTTCACTAAAGCTCTCTGTGGTCATTTCATTTGCCGTCGAGAATCCAATCCGATTACACGACATTTGAAAAATGGCAAAAAGGAGAGAAAATTCAAAAGGTGGGGTTGAGATGGGAAGTTGGTGTCTGAGCGGATTGAGGTCACGATAGCTCAAGTGGTAGAGCAGCGGCGTATCTAGCCAAAGATCGTGGGTTCGAATCCCGCTCTTGCTAGACAAACGTTCAAACCTTATTATTCACAAGAAGAAAAAAAAACACCTCTCCTAGCTCCTCCATGTTATTACAGAACGGAACTGCAAAGGATGGCTAAAAATCAAACCTAATATTCCTAAATTCTTTGCATGAATTCTTTGTTAATAATCACACACTTCTCCTCTCAGATTTCCAAATTAATTATGTTACTTACCTATATTCTAATACCTCAAATTCCATTACAAATTTTCTCTTCATTTCAACTTCCTTATCTTTTTCAGTCTTATTCTCCTTACCAATCCCCTGCATAAGTCAATTAATTAAGGTTTTTAGTTGAGATAAAAAAGTCAGTGTCATGAGCGGGATATACCCCTGCATAAGATTGAGGTGATGCTGGCCTTGTGACCAACTGCCCACAAAGCCATCCATTGTAGGGAAGAGGCTGCCAATTGATGGTCATTGGTGGGTGGCTCATACTCATGGCTACATGATACTTATGTTGTTTCCTTATTGCATAAATTGATGCAGCTGTAGAATAATAATTAAAAAAGTCAAAAGTTGATATAATACTGTGTGGTCTGTACTGTTAATGTTACTTTCATTTTAATTTTTATCTGAAAGTGTTGCCTTCAAAAAACTAAAAAAATTAGAATTGAAATTTAACATTGGCCTAGATAATATTCACTGGGAGTTTTATGATTTACAAGAGAATTAATTTTCTTTGGGAAAGAGTAAATTCAATTTGTGCTCAAAAACGAATGAATTTGATTAGTAGACAAGTGAATTTGATTTGCAAAAGAGTAAATTTAATTAGTAAAATCTTGAATTATTAACAAAAGATTGAATATGATTTACAAAAGGGTTAATGTAGTTTGTAAAAACTTCAATTATTAGCAAAAGAGTGAATTTGATTTACAAAAGGGTGAATTTAATTTATAAAAACTTCAATTATTAGCGAAAGAGTGAATTTGATTTACAAAAGGGTTAATTTGAATTGTAAAAGAATGAATTTGCTTTGGAAATGAGTAAATTCAATTTGTAAATGACGAATTTGATTTGTAGACAAGTGAATTTGATTTGCAAAAGAGTGAATTTAATAAGTAAAATCATGAATTATTAGCGAAAGAGTGAATTTGATTTACAAAAGGGTTAATTTGAATTGGAAAAGAATGAATTTGCTTTGGAAATGAGTAAATTCAATTTGTAAATGATGAATTTGATTTGTAGACAAGTGAATTTGATTTGCAAAAGAGTGAATTTAATAAGTAAAATCATGAATTATTAGCGAAAGAGTTAATATGATTTACAAAAGGGTAAATTTGATAAGTAAAATAGTGAATTTGATTTGAAAAAGAGTCAATTTAATTTACAAAAGGTTGAAGTTGGTTTGCAAAAAAGTGAATTCAATTAGTAACAACTTGAATTATTGGCAAAAATGATTTTCAAAAGGGTAAATTTGATTCGTTATCAAGTTTAATTTGTAAAAGGTTGAATTTGATTTGCAAAAGGGTGAGCTTGATTTTCTGAGTGGATTTAATTTGCAAAAGGGTGAATTTGATTTATAAAAACTTGAATTGTAATAATAATAATATCTTTATATACGGCAAACCAATTTAAGTACATTATACAATTTACCTATTTTTCACAGCATACAATGAATTATGAAATAGATTCAACTGAACATTATTTTGTATATCTTGTTCTTTTATCAGGTATATTCAATTTAATTATTTCTAAAAGTTCTGGATAACATAGTAGGTTATTTATCAATCTGAAACAAACTGTAATGTTGCCAATTTTTCTACGCTAGTCTAGATTACATAAGTTGAACATTAGCAAAAGAGAGAATTAGATTTGAAAAAGGGTAAATTTAAAATATGAAATATGAACGAGTGAATTTAACTTGCAAAATGGTGAATTTGATTTGCAAATGAATTAATTTGATTTGTAAATGGGTTAATTTTATTTTACAAAAAGCTGTATTTGCTTTATGAAAACTTCAATGATTAGAAAAAGGGTAAATTTGAAATATGAAAAATGAACGAGTGAATTTAACTTGCAAAAGGTTGAATTTAATGCGGAAAACCTGTGTAGGAATTGTCAAATTTGGCTGTTAAGATGACAGTATTGAACTTGCACCCCATCTAAAATTATGAGTTTGATCTTTTTTGTAAACCATCTTTTTGTAATGGTTTTAGAAATATTTTTTGTAAAATTAATTTTCAATGGGATTTTTGTGTCTTTTTTAAAAATTAAATAAAAAGTAATGTTATTTTTGTAATAAATGCCGGCGTCAGAGGTTGGCGACACTGATTGAAACCTACAGCTTACCACCTAAAGCCCTTTCTAGTTTGTTTTCCTTGTTGTTTAAGGTTCTATTGTCGGCTAAATAACGTCGCTGGTCCTTGTGCAACTTTTATCGTATTTCCAGGTGGAAAAATGTCTTCAAAAGAGAGTTCGAACGCCCGCGAGGCGTCGAAAGACTTCTACATTCGTTACTACGTAGGTCACAAGGGCAAGTTCGGCCACGAGTTCCTCGAGTTCGAGTTCCGGCCTGACGGAAAACTACGCTACGCCAACAACTCAAACTACAAGAACGACACGATGATCAGGAAAGAGGCGTACGTCCACCGTTGCGTCCTCGAAGAACTTAAAAGAATCATCATCGACTCCGAAATAATGCAAGAGGACGACTCGCTATGGCCGCAACCGGACCGCGTCGGCAGGCAGGAGCTGGAGATAGTCATAGGAGACGAGCACATCGCCTTCACCACATCCAAGACGGGCACCCTCGTCGACGTCAACCATTCCAGGGACCCAGAGGGCCTCAGGTGCTTCTACTACCTCGTCCAGGACTTAAAGTGCCTCGTTTTCTCTTTGATCGGCCTTCACTTTAAAATCAAGCCCATATAAAAAGTTATCTTTTTACAATTTAAAAATATTTACCATTTAATTTTTGCCTTTTTAATGTCTCAATTTTATAAAACTTAACTTCGATATCACTTACAATAAAGTTTCTAGTGTAATTTACAAGTTATTTTTCTTCCATTTATCAATCTTCTACACCCAATATTATCCATAGTACAGAGTAAAATTCGATATAAAAATGATAATAAAACCAACTTTCACCTTCGCAGCACAAAACATTAAAAAAATTCCAAGTAATTATTCTTTTTAACTAAGGTTTTTAGTTGAGATGAAAACTTAGTGTCACAAGCGGGATTCGAATCCACGACCTTTGGTTAAATACACTACTGTCCTAACCACTTCAGCTATCGCTGGCTTCAATCACTGTGGCACTAAAACTCCTTATCTCAACCTGTTGGTGAAGTAATTACTTCTTTTACTTATTAAATTAAAGGTTGTAGGTTCACCAAGTTAGTTGGTGCCCGAGGGGATCAAAACCACGATAGCTCAAGTGGTTAGAGCAGCGGTGCTTTGAGCCGAAGGTCGTGGGTTTAATCTTACTCATGACACTAATTTTTCATCTAAACCATATTATGACCACTAAGCAAATATAAATTAATTTAATAATTAAAAGAAGTCACCACTTCATAAGATGCTGAGAATCAAATCCTGAAAATATGGCAAAATGAGGGAAAATTAGAATGGTTGTGGGTTTGAGATGGGGTGTTGGTGCCCAAGGGGATCAAAGCCACGCACGATAGCTCAAGTGGTTAGAGCAGCGGTGCTTTGAGCCGAAGGTCGTGGGTTTGAATCTCGCTCATGATAATTTTTCATAGCCAAAAACCTTAGATAAAAAGAATAATTAATTTTTATCAATTACGACCACTAAGTAAATATGGATTTAAAAAAATATTGTTTTATTTGAAAAAAATCACCACCACCATCTTTGATCTTAGTGCTCAGATGACTGACAGAATTTGTGAAATTTTTCAAGTAAAACAATATTTTTGTAGTTTTTATTTTAAGACAAATATACGTGTGTGTATTTGTCGATGCATTAAATTAATGTGGGGGGGGAAGGGTATAATGACAAAAGGAGCAGGCGCAACAGTGGGAATCGAACCACCCACACCGCCGTGGTCTACCACCCCTTAAAACGATATTCGTCTCTCTCTGCTTCACCCACTGAGAAAAGGATTGAGACAAACCCACAACCAAGTGTTAATTTGCTAGAAGTCAATCCCAAGAAATAAAAAAATTGAATTAAACATTTTTATTAAATTAAATTTTCTTTTCAATTGTTTTACAGAAATTAAGATATGAACTAAAATTGATCAAACTTACAGTAAAAGTTGATTGATGAACGAGCTGGCTTTTAATATGCAGAGCGATACGGCCCCCGCGAGTCGCAGGACTGTGCAGGAGTCCAGTCAATCACTCTTTCTTTTCTTCTCTTCTCAGTAATGCATTCATTCATTTCCTTTTTCTTTGTCTAATCTCGTTAATTGTAGACATCATTCATGGTATAAATTTGAGATTTTTCAAATAAAACGATATTCATTCTCTTTCCCCATTCCTCCCAAACTCTCTTTCTCATGCACTCACTCCCCCACCCAGTTTTCCCTCTTTGTTTCTCTCACTAATACATTCAATCATACGCTCTCTCTCTCTCTGTCTACCTCGCTATCTCTTGTTAATTGTAAGAGAGGTCGTTCACGACCTAACTTTGCAAGATTTTTCAAATAAAATGATATTCATTCTCTCCCTGAATGAACTATTTTTTTCTCGCTAATATTCTTTCGTTCTTGCTCTGCCCCTGTTGTTAATTATAAGACAGGTCGTTTTTGACATAAATTGGCGTGACTTTTCAACTAACATATTATTTATTCTCTCTATTAAGATAATTAATCGATTGCCAAAAAATATTAGAAACTTTTAATGACATTAACAATTGAAATATAAAACAAGGTTGTTTAAAATAAAACTACAAAATGATCTTATAAATATTTTTATATACAATTATTTATCTAACCTACACAATTATATTATTAATGTATATTAAATTATTTATGTACAATTATGTACACAACTTATACAATGTTTTTTGAGTTTGAAGAAAGCAATTAAAATTGTATATATATGTATATAAGTGCATATATATAATACAGTCAGTTTAACATCGGCCTCAGTTAATTTCTGGCCATACATCTTGGAATGACTAGGATTTTTTCTTATTATATAAAGCCTAAGCTACAATTTTTTTTTTTTTTTGTTAAAATATAATTACGTTTACATATGTATTTATTTGTTGACATAAAAATTAATTTTACACGAAGCAGTCAACACAACCGTTAGGTTCATGTTGACGGTACAATCACATTCTTATTTGTTCATCATTGGCTTTTGTCTGGCCAGCGGTGAAAGCGGCGTTAATAGCCAATTCCAACACCGTCTTGCACAAAAAAGAGGTTTATCACAAAAAAAACTATGAAAAAAATTCCAATAAAAATAGTCTAAATAATAAATAATCAATAGTGTACCATTTTCATATATACGTGTGCCAAGGGGGGGGGGTGGCTTTACACAAAACAAGTGTTTTTAGATTAGACTGATATAAAATTGTTTATCCAATTTAGAAATTAATAAATTAAGTACAGCATAATTTTATTCTAACTGTTTTTCTGAACAGAAACTGCTTATATTACATGCCTTTTATTTTAAGTTTTGACTAGTTATATTAGGATAAGCTTGGAACCCTTTTGAAGAATTTTCCTAAGGGGCTCAAAAATCTAAGAATGCCGAGTGAATAAAAGAACTGCTGTGGCTCAACAAAACACGATGATCACCCTTGTCAGTTTCTCTGCTATATATATTATTAATTAAAAGTTAAATTGACAACAATCGTTTATAAAGAATATATTACACTATATACTTTTATAAAAGGAGTTGGAATGTCTTAAAATTTTCATCCTTTGTACCACTATTGCATTTCAAAGCTATAATTTATATAATTTCTATATTTATCAATAAAATTGTTTATATTATAAATTATGTTTTAAACAACGAAACATGTGGGCTAAATTGGTTAAAAAATTACATTGATCTCACTTTTTTTGTGTGTGTGTAAAGATTACATATTTAAATTATTAACTAACACAAATACTCAATGTTTTCTTTTGTTTTGTACTCGAGCAACAAGGAAATAAATAAAACCCAACTTACAAGTTTTGCAAGAAACCGTTTGTTTAAAACATAAAATTGTACACGGAAGAAATAAAAAGCTTTTGACGATGATTATTTCGAGGTGCTTCTAGTGTTACGAAGTGGGCAAAAATCAGCCTTCAACTATTTAAACGGTAGTCGCTAATTTAATTTTCTAAATCCTTGCAGTGGTGGCGTTATGAATTTGATCTTCAATGCCTTTTCTACATGCAATTACGAGAAACCTGCTTATGTTTTGAATAATAATAAAAAATATAAAAAATAATTGTTTAGATAATTCATCTGAAATCATAATAAATAATATAATGGATAATGTGTGGTGATTAGTGACCGTTTGTTGATTATTCGGAAATCTATACCGAATGTGTACCTACCGCAGTAAATGTGTACTGTTAATTTTTTTTTTCTACCTCAGATCTTAAAATGACAGTATAAAATATTTCGGGAAAAATCCTGCCTATTTAACATGCTTGAACAAATATGTCTTTGGGGGAGGGGAAAAAAAAAAAAAAAAAAAAAAAAAAAAAAAAAAAAAAAAAAAAAAAAAAAAAAAAAAAAAAAAAACACCTGTTGAACCGGCACAGAGTCGCTTACTCACAGACCGAAACCCATCAACTCAAAAAACTTTGGGTTGAGATAGAAAGGTCGATGTTTCGTGGATCGATTTCACAGTGGCTCAGGTGGTTCGAACATCGGGGTACAGTTCCGAAGACGGTGGTTTCGAATCCCATCTGTGAAATTGGCTTTTTTTATCTGAAATTTCGTGTTTAAAAATTAACTTATCTATAATATAACGAATAGGACAGAAACCGATACTTAAATAGCCTTTAATAAAAATTATTTTGTTAAAGGATTTGGCATTTTTATACTTTTGAATAAATTTGTCTAATTTTTTTCTTCTATTTCCTGCAAAGCAAAGTGGGGTTTATCACAATTTACATTTTTCCAAATAGTGATAAAAACAATTAAATTATAAACAATTTAAATAAATTATGGTATATTAACTGTTAACAGCTTTTAAAAAGTTCAAACTCTGAACTGTTCAATTCATAACGAATCCACGAGAGACTAATTATTTTTAAATGTAATAGCTTATAACAATATCCGTATACAAAACCCGATCTTTTAAAGCTCTCTTTAAGGATTTATATATACATTGTTAAAAAGTTAAAATGAAAAAACTATATGTTAAAGCCGTGAAGAAAATATTGAGTATATAAGTATTAAATTCATTATTATATACGAAAAACTTTAAAAATGTTGTCAGACCCATGAATTGTTTAAAGAATGCTCAAATTGAACATTGAATGTTCATCAGGACGTTTTGACGTTAACCCATGCTTCTATCGGCATTTCACTTTAAATATTACACACAAATACTATGAGGTGAAGAAATGACAGCTAACTAAGGTAACTGTTTGAGATAAATTAAATAGTTTCCGTTTAGAAAACTGACTCTGCCGATCGGGACAGGTGGATCGGATGCGAGGGACTTCTGGCCAGGCGTTTCTTTGGCAGCTTTTCGAGGGTTTTGTGCAGGCAGAGGAAATCGGGCCGGTCGGCCGCTTTGTAAGACCAGCACATCATCAAGATCTCCTGGAAAAATTGCGAACAATCAGTTTCTTTTCCTTTTGACCGAGGTGAATTGAATTACCTTGACATCTCGTGATGCTTGAAGGTTTGCAAGAGTTTGTTTCATCCCTTTTCCAACCTGCCAGATTATGGCCTCAGGAGGTTGTCCTCTAAACGGCCATTCACCGCATAATAGTTCGTACCAGACCGTCCTATAAAACAATTATTGTTTGTAATAAAACAAAAATTTTTCCTCGGTTTAATTGCCCTTGATCACTTCAGTCTGAATACTGATGCTAATTACACTCTTTTTTAAATTTAATTTATTTATTGCTATCTATACAAAATATATATTGAGGAAATATATTTTTTTTAAAAAAGATTTTAAGCTCTTTCTGGATAATTTGATTGGTGGTGTTGAGGATACTGTGGAGAATTCTGATTGAAAAGATAGGGTACGTTGGATGTTGAAGGATTTAGCCAAGCCCCTCAGTTCGACTCTGTCAGACCAAATCGGCCAGATGCGTATTTTGTAAGTGTTTGATATGTTTTCTTGTTCAATTAATTAAGGTTTTTAGTTGAGATAAAAAAGTCGATGGCATGAGCGGGATTCGAACCCACGACCTTCGGCTTGATACGCCGTTACTGAACCACTTGAGCTATCGTGACCTCGATCCCCTCGGGCACTAACTTCCTATCTCAACCCCACCCTTTTGAATTTTCCCTCCTTTTTGCCATTTTCAAATGTCGTGTAATCTATTTGATTCTTGGTGACAAATGAAATGGCCACGGAGAGCTTTAGTGAAGATGTACTTCATTTAACTTATTAAATTCACTAGTTTTCATGGTCTGGTTGACCAATTAATACTTTTCAATTAATTAAGGTTTTTGTTGAGATAAAAAAGTCAGTGTCACGAGCGGGGTTCGAACCCATGACCTTTGGCTCAATACGCCGCTGCTCTTACCACTTGAGCTATCGTGACTTCGATCCACCCGGACACAAACTCCCCATCTCAACCTACAACTATTCGAATTTTCCCTCTTTTTGCCACTTTTCAGATGAGAGATGGGGAGTTCGTGTCTGAGTGGATTGAAGTCACGATAGCTCAAGTCGTTAAAGCAGCGGCGAATTGAGCCGAAGGTCATGGGTTCAAATCCCGCTCGCAACACTAGATTTTTCATTTCATCCAAAAAACCTCACATAAAATGATTAATTAATTGAAAGAAGTAATTTGGTCAATATATCACTAAATATGATGAATTTAAAAAGTACAAAAGGTCAAAAAGGAGGCTCCCATGTTATTAAAATTATTAAACAAGACGAAGCAAAAGGCAATAAGCACTCAACTACATTTTCTAACACTTCCTTCCAATAATAAAAAAAGTCATGAACTGCTGAGTTGTTCATTCTCTGGCCGCCACTCTGACAAATTCTCCAATCATGTAATTTGTTGGATTTTTGCCTGTCCAACCTGATCCGTCACTGATTGCACCAGTGGGTATAATAATGCTAATACAATAAAAAAAAAAAAAACTTTCTACTTTGGCTTAAAATTATACTGGTAATAAAAATAATTAATAGCAGTCACTATAGTGTTAGGTTTGGAAGTCAGAAATTTAAAAAAAAAAAAAAGTTTTACTAACCCAAAGGCATAAATATCTGTTGCCTGCGAAAAAGGTAAGTCGTCTTCTTCTGGTTTTTGATGGGCCCTCAGATTCCTTACGATCTCAGGTGCGAGGTAGCAGAGCCAGCCAGGCGGTATGCTAAGTCCATCCCCCTTCCTGAAATGTTTTGGGTTAATTTCAACGCTCATGGTATTCAGTTATAAATGATGGACTTACCTAGTGCCGAAGCAGAGTTTGGTAACGCTGAACAGGCCGAAGTCAGTTATCACGACTTTCCCGTTTTCCAGAAAGATGTTTTTCGTTTTCAGATCTTTGTGAATAATTCCCCGGGCGTGCAAGTAACCCATTCCCTACAAATAAATTCAAACTTTATCATTACTCTTTCAATGCAGAGGAGGTAAATTTACATGTTCTAGTCTTATTAGTGCTGTAGATGTCATTAATTTTGTTTTCTTATACCATTCCTTTCACTAGACCTTCAATTTGAATTTACCTACCTTGTTTGATTTTCTTAATTGGAACCGGCGTTATTGGAATTTTCCCGATTTTTTTTTTTTTTTTAGATTTCGCTATATAAGTAAGCTTAATTTTAATGTTCTAAAAATATACATTAGTAATATTTATATTTAAAAACAATAGAAAAGTACAAAAAAAAAATTACTTGAAAATTAAAAAAAAAAAATTCTTTTGCCAACTTTTTCAAAAAGTATCACGTATCAATTTTATTCCTTTTCTTTTACAGTGATTTTTATTTTATTTTATTTGTTTTGTGTGTAATATTTATTATATTATTTCTTAAGAAATAATTTTTATTAATAATATTTATTAATGTGTGGTGATTAGTGACCGTTAATCGATAATTATTCAGAAATCGTGAGACCGCATCTCACGATTTCTGAATAAATATTTATTAAAAACTTAAGAAATAAAAAGCACGTTCCAGTAGTTGAGGATATATTCTTAGCGTTTCTGGCTGTGCGTCTTAGCATTCGCCCATATTTGCTAAGTAATTAATGACTTTTTTTTTATTTTTAAATATTTTTTATTTACAAACAACAGGTAAAAATAGTAACCATCGATAGTGAGGAAACAATGTTTGTTGTGTTTTCTTTTATTGCATGCTGTTCTATAAAATTTTAGAAATAGTTATGGACTAGCAACCTGGACCCTCTGGGCAGTTGAATTTGAAATGGGTGAAAAACGACAAACTGTGAGTAGGAATTATCTTATTAAAAAGAAGGAAGACACCTGTCAAAAATATTAAAACTCAAAAACAATTTATATTAAATGAATTGTCCGATGAGGATTTATTAAAAATATTGAAGGAGGATGATAGTGAGAATGAGGAAGCAGATGACTAGACAAAAACGAAAAAATAGATTTTATTCCACTATCTAAAATAGAGGCTTGGAAGGCATAAGTCAGTACATTTTGTCCAAGTTATGATGAGGAGCCTTGGAGTATGTTTTAAAAAGTACCACAAAGATTTGAAACATCAAAAGTTGTAATTTTTTTAAAATATATATAGTTTTCAGTTTTAAATAATTAATTAATTTTCATTTCATTAAAACAATTACCCTTAAAAATAATCATTTAAAACTTAAAAGTGAACATTGTAGAAAACTCATTAAATTCACTAATTTTGTGGTCCGATTGACGAAATAATTTCTTTCAATTAATTGAGGTTTTTATTGAGATAAGTCAAGTGGACCACAAAAACTAGTGAATTTAGTAAGTTAAAATGAAGTATACCTTCACTAAAGCTCTCCGTGGCCATTTCATTTGTCGCCGAGAATTAAATAGATTACACGACATTTGAAAAATGGCAAAGGAGGAAAATTCAAAAAGTGGGGTTGAGATGGGAAGTTAGTGTCCGAGTGGATTGAGGTCACAATAGCTCAAGTGGTAGAGCAGCGGCATCTAGCCGAAGATCGTGGATTCGAATCCTGCTCGTGCCATTGACTTTTTTTATCTCAACTTAAAACCTTAATTAACTGTAGAAAACGGCACTTTTGCAAGCATGTTGTGCGGATTGCATAATTCCGATTTACTTTGTTAGTTTTTTTGAACTTTTAATGACAAATATGTTTTATACGCCTGAAAAATTGTTATTTTGTACTTTAGTAAAAATATGTTTAAAAAAATATATCCTGTAACGGGGGTTTTCAGCAAAGACAGTCCCGCAATGAAAGGGTTAAACTCCAGATTCCCATGCAATTGTATCTTTTTATCATTCCAATTGCAATGTCACCAAGACAGAAATTTGAACCATGGAAAGGACGTCCTTTCGACACTATATTTTTTTTTTACATGGAATTGCACGTTTTACTGTTCACTGCACAAAATTGCATTTTTTCATGTTATTTTTTTATGCATAAAATCAATGAAAATATATCATTTTTATGGGCTTACAATATTTAGCAAACAAATTGAGGTTAAAATCTTTTTTATAATGTGCTTCGACCAAATTTTCAACTTCCAATAACTAAAATTTTCCAAGATATTTTTTTATATTCACTATTTTTCGTGGTCCGCATGACCAATTAATTTCATCCAATTAACTAAGGTTTTAAGTTGAAATAAAAAAAGTCAGTGTCATGAGCGGGATTCGAACCCATGACCTTCAGCTTGATACGCCGCTGCTCTACCACTTGCGCTATCGTGACTTCGATCCCCTCGGGCACCAACTTCCCATCTCAACCCCACCTTTTGAATTTTCCCTCCTATTTGCCATTTTTCAAATGTCATGTAATCTATTTGATTCTCGGCTTCATGTGAAATGGCCACGGAGAGCTTTAGTGACACTGACTTTTATATCTCAACTTAAAACCTTAATTAATTGGTCAAGCGGACCACGAAAAATAGTGAATTTAATGAATTAAAATGAAGTATACTTCACTAAAGCTCTCTGTGGCCATTTCACTTGTCGCCGAGAATCAAATAGATTACATGACATTTGAAAAATGGCAAAAAGGTGGGGTTGAGATGGCAACTTAGTGCCCGAGGGGATCAAGGTCACGACAGCTCAAGTGGTCCAGTAGCGGCGTATCAAGCCGAAGGTCATGGGTTCGAATCTCACTCGTGACACTGACTTTTTATCTCAACTTAAAACGTTAATTAATTGGATGATATTTTTTTATGTTCATCATCCGCCGATCTGCTCTGTCATCCGTCAACCATCTGATATTTCTTACTTTTCATTTCTCATTCTTACTTGCAAAGCAAAACAGCTTAAAATAGAAATCCTGTTCAGATCCTAGTACTGTATGTTCAAAATGGTGGCTAGAGGACTACTCGGAACCAAAGGCCAATGGCCTAATTTTATTAACCCTCCTCGGGCAAGGATCTAAACTGTAATTACACGTGCAAGGCGTGTTGTCGATGACCGAATCAGTTTTCAATTTTATTTCGTACTCTAAAATGTTTCGAAAACAAATAAAAATTAATTTTGTTAAGGAATATGAGAACAAAATATATTTTATAAATTTCACGACATTAATTTTTTTAATTGTTGAATATTTTTAAACTTAATAACACATTGGGTTTTAAAGCGGATATAATCGACTTACTAAAATAAACAATCAATCATAAACAATATTTAAGACAATAATTAATTTTATTAGGTAAATAAATTTTACTGTTATTATTGTTTTGCACATTTCATTTTTTATTGCAAGTTCCTTTCTTTATTTATCATAAATCATAATTATAAAAAAAACAAAAAACTTATTTTTGGAGTAAGTTTAAATTATTTTATAAACCATGTTAATTTGTGTATTGACCAAAGGTAAAAATTTATTACCTGTGAAATCTGTTGAGCTAGCGAAACGTTTTTATTCATAGTAAACTTATCCTTATAAATATGTATGTGAGTATAAAGTGTGTAGCCCTTGCACATGCTTGTAACGATAGCAAGGTGAGGTGGTTTCATGCAAGCTCCCATGAAGAGGACCAGATTTTCATGCCTTGTTTTTCTAAACGTTGCCACCTGAGAAAGAAAAAAAAAATTGTTTATTTAAAGAAAGAAAAGGAGTATTGGTTTGATTTACATCTAGTCTGAACCCCTCGAGCATTTTTTCATCATCTAGGCAGGTCATTTTTAATACTTTAATTGCGACATCGCCGTGCCATTTGCCTTGGTACACAGTGCCGAAGTGGCCTGTTCCGATTGGATCTCCCATTGTCAATTCACCAAATGGTATATCCCATTCTCTCATAGAAAGCTGTTAAAACAGTAAAATTATTGATTTGACTTAAAAAAAGATTAATTAATAAAATACATACGCTATTCTGCCTTGGCCAGGGGCGATCGGCAGCTTCGCCGTCAGAAACTTGACTGTCTTGGCTATCGACTCGCACCGGCGTCCGGTCTGAGTCAGTACTCCCTGAGACGGTTCTATCGGAATCCTGTGTACAGAAATATATAAGCCAAGTGAAGCTGGTAAATTTTTAATGACTCGGTTACCTGAGATCTGTTGAGTGGGTGGGTATCCAAAGTGACCACATCGGGAAAGTCAAACTGCTGCTTGTTGATCGTGGCGACCGGCGTTTGAATCTGGATTAGAGCGGGACTCGACGGTGTGGAGCTGTTACAACTTGAAGTATTTGAACTTGAATCAGGACCGCCCTAAATTTTTTAAAAATAAATTTCATTTTTGAAAAAAATTTTTTTTTAAAGTGTTATACATTTAAAAAAATTAATATTAAACTTACAGGAAATGGAGGAACACTAATCACTGTTTTCCATGGTTCCCTTCTGTTTGAAACAGTGGCACCATGGTGACTAGGAGAAGGGCGGCCCAAACTTGGTGAATTGTTTGGCATGAATGTATTTGCTGGAGGAAAAAAGTTAAAACAATAATTCCCTATTAAACAAAAACAACTTATCTGTAACATTGGATTACTATCAGTCTGAAGAGTTTTTTTGAATTCATCCATGAACTCCCTAGGCAATCCGCAAGAAGGAGGCACTTTGCTCTCACAATCCCTGTGACATTTGTACTTGCATTCTTTGCACTTGAGACCTGTGCCGATAAACATCTGCTTATCACAGTAATCGCACGTCGTCATCATCTTGAACGTTTTTGTGAATCTGTGGGCGATTGCGTGTGCCATGCCTCGAGTGATGGTCGGGGTTCTTGGAGACTTGGGCACTTGGAGGGAACTGGCTGTTGGCACAAAAAAAAAGTTTTAGTGTTTAAATCACATTTATTTGTAACAAAAGTCATACTTTTGCATGGAGTTTCGTTTTGAGGGTCTGGAGGAGGAGATTTGATAGGGCTTGATATCTGTGGTGATGTTCTCCCTGGGCCTGGTTCAGTTGGCAGCCTGGCCCTCCTTTCTCCGGCTTTTCTGTTTAAAAATTGAACCTTTTGTTATTTCATATCAGTCTAAGATTATTTCCAAGACTCACGGTGTCGACGTGGTCGTGTTGTTATTTTCGCCGTCCACTTTATTCGCAAGCTGGCTCTCATGGGATTTGGACTTTGTGAGGGGGTGGGTGTCCGGGAGAAGAACGACCGAGTGTAGACCAGTCTGATGCTTCATCTTCGGTGGAGGAGTTGAAGGAAATTTACCTCGCTCTCCTACTGAACCAGTACTTTCTTAAAATCGCGTTTTAGTTATTTAAAGTCCAAATTTACTATTTTTATACAAATTTTATTAATCTGAGACTTCAAAATATATAATACACGTCATTTGTTTTTCTCTTTATGAGTAATTATACAATCGAACAGTAATAAAAATACCTCAAAAATGAAAAGGGAGAAAGAGAAAAGTTAGAGATGAAAGAGAGATAAATATAAAAAGTAAGAGATTCAGAGAGATGAAAATGTGAGAGGTGAAAGAAAGAGAGAGAGAGAGAAAGAGAGAGAGAGAGAGAGAGATGAAATAGAGATTGATGGAGATGAAAGTGAAGGATTAAGAGAGAATAGGAGTAAGAGAGAGATTAAAGAGAAAGATAAAAGGAAGATTGAAAGAGATGAAAGTTAGAGAGAGAATAGAATAGAAGAGAAGAGAGAGAAATGTAAGGATAAATTTTGACAAAGATTTCAGTAAATTTAACACAAAAAGAACAAGGATTGATAAAATACAGTTAACTATATAAATAACAATTGATAATTTCAAATTTCATTACACCAAATTTAAAAACAGCAGCATGTTACCTTTGGATTTGTTGACCGGTGGTGTACTGGGAGGTGACATCTGACCACCGATGACCCCTGACAAAATCCCTGGGGTCTCGTCAAGATCGGCTGGGAGCCTCGAACCCGCAATCCTGTTGACAGATCGGAGCTGGCTCCTCGGCGAGAGGACATTTGAAGCCGCAGACCTGTCCCACGAATCCCAATACAAAGGCAGCTCACAAGCTTCACATTCTCCTTTTACAAGAATTTCTGAAAGAAAACAATAAAAAATAAAAAGGAAATAATGTTTTTAATGATAGATTCATCTAATTACCTGTATATTTTTTAAGATTGTGAAGTGCACGGTTTAATCTTCTCAGCTCTTCTTGCCTAAAACTCGAATGATCACTATTCAAGAGCATTTTAAGCTCATGCTCGGATTTTTCTTGTAACACATCAATAGACCGTACTCGAACACATATCGCCTTTATATTACAAAAACAATAATTTTATTATAGGTACAATTAAATAAAAACTCGGCATTACAATAAATTCAGTGTACCTCTATCGATTCATGGCTGAGTCCGACTACCTGAAGCCATTGCTGGACGGATGGAAGCTGCCTCGTGTCTGCATTTGTATCTTTCAGCTTTGATTTTATGGTAAGTTGGCTGGAGAACAACTTGATCAGTTTACCCTGAAATAAAATGTAATATGCGCAAAAATGTTTAAATAATTTGTTTTATATTTCAATGGATAAATTGCAAGCCTAAAAAAGCGTAACGAAAATTACCCAAGATATTCAACAATCCATAATGTTATAATTGAATCAAAGTAATTTATAAACACGATAAAAAAATTGAAAAGTCCCTTCTTTCCTTTTTGTAATTACAATTTGTAACGCATTAACATATTTTAATGGCCTTCGGGGAAAACTTAAACTACAAATCCTCTTCGGCGTGAAATGACATTCATAAGAAACAAAGTTAGCGGTCTCAAAAATAACGTAAAGCTTTCATTCTTGCCCTATGAGCAAATGGGTTGAACGCACAGTTACTGGGGCATGGCTTTGTACAGTTACAACCGTTGAGTTAACTGCTATGAAACGTATCACCGTGAAAAAGACCCGCAACATAAAGAAAACACCAACAGTTTGAAATACATTGTTATATATTTACAATACAATAAATGCATAACAGTTAAATTGTTCCAAAATTGGAAATTACAATTTGCCTTGTTTTTATAAGTAACTTTTATTATGTAAATGTTTTTAACATGGAAATAGTAAAATATTGTTTACATGTTATTTAATTTATGGTTTTTATAAGAAAAATTTTCATATGGTTTTATATTTCTTTATTATACACATCTTCAGCAAAGAAAAAACAAATTTAAATAAAAACATTATCATCATGATATATTTGTTACAATCATGGTGGTAATGTATTTATTTAAAAACTGTTTTTTGGGGGAGTGGGCATTGATGACTACAATGGTTTAGGAGTTGACATGGTGCGCATCACCACGCTAAAGCTAAAGGACCCAGGTTCGAATCCAGGACCGCTGGACATACTTACAATGGGCTTTTTTCCCCAAAAACATTGACACACCGAGGGTTCATATAACCTTTAGTTGAAATGCCCTTGTTTTTATAATTGCAGGAGATGGGTATAACCCCAAAACGTCCAATTAAAACAAATAAAAAAGATATAAAACAATACGAATTGGTTTTCTTATAAAAACTTTAAATGTTATTTGAAAACTTTTCTTATAAAAGTGCTTTTGTAATTTAAATTTAATGCACCATTTTTTTTTCCAGAATGCTAATGTATTGTTCGATAAAATCTACTGAAACATGTCAAACTTTTTAAATGTTGACATCATTTTTTATAGCTTAACATTATGATGATAAAAATCGTAGACAGTTTTGCCTTAGATTAATTTAGACTTTCTATACTAGCAGATACATGAATAATAAACAGTGAGTGTACAAATTGCACTTTGGACTTATGATGACCCTGAGGCGTCAATGAACTGATTAAAATAGCAAATTTACTAACGGATAAGTGTAGAAAGAGAACACAATTTTTACACTGATTACAAACTGTAAGGAATTGCCATTTTAAATTTTCCCGAATAAATATTTGAGGACATAAACTATTGTAATTACGGATAAACGATTTGGTTTAACTAGTGTTTAAGTAATTATATACTATTAATAAGAAAGACGTAAACACTAGATTTTATATATTAATATTCCTCACCCTTCTTTGGTTGTCTTGTCTTCAATGATAGATTCGGACAAATAAATAGCAAACCACTTCAACCAATTTATTTATTGATGCCGATGCATTTTGGGGCCAATCTATGTTTGTTATTAGAGAAAGAGGGGAGCCAGATTGGCCCCAAAATGTAGCATGAATAAATTTGCTAAAATAACTTGGTTGAAAAGTTTACTATTTAGTCTGCATCTATCATCGAACAGCAGATTTTATTGCTGACACTACGGAAAACGATTTCACTTTTGTCAGCTACATGGTAATGTGTGATAATTTTAGACACAAGCAGGCTTTGGTTTAACAATCTGTAGAATTTTATTAGTTATGTTGATTTTCAGCGGCTCTAGGTATGATGGCTTTTTCGAACCCATGGCTTTTTAATATGATGATCAATTTCTAATTGATAATAGTAATTATTCAGAAATCGTGATGCAGTCTGGTGTGATGTAGGTTTCAGAAAAAACATTTTCTTTATCGTGCCAACGTTTCGATCTTTATTGAGATCATCTTCAGGGCATGGGATTTACAAACATTGTTTAAATTTAACAAATAGATGTAGAATGTGGAAAAAAGTGAATTTATACAATGCAAAAAAATATTTTTTATACTCAATCAAAGTATTTCTACTCACTCAAAGTGTTTGTCGTCTGTGTAATTGTGCCATTCTTGCGTGTCGTGTTATAAACATACAACAGCAAAATCTCACTGGCACTCTCAGCACGACACCCAAGAATGGCACAATTACACAGAAGACAAACACTTTGAGTGAGTAGAAATACTTTGATTGAATATAAAAAATATTTTTTTGGATTGTATAAATTCACTTTTTTCCACATCCTACATGTATTTGTTAAATTGAAACAATGCTTGTAAATCCCAGGCCCTGAAGATGATCTCAATAAAGTTCGAAACGTTGGCACGATAAAGAAAATATTTTTCTGAAACCTACATCACACCAGACCGCATCTAACGATTTCTGAATAATTATCGACTAACGGTCACTACCCACCACACATTGATAATAATATGGAAAATTATTGTAAAATGGTTTGACCTCTCGTGCACGACACCCAACGTGTAGTCGGGCGTTAAGCTCTACTGCATGACAAGTAGAATTGAAACAGTAGTAAACAGTTGAATTGAAAAATCATTTAATCTGTAATTCAGTAACCAAAGACTAATAAATTTGTCAATATTAGAATTTGGTAGAACTAAAGGTTTTTTTCTATTTTTGGCTTGTTTCAGATAGCAGGATATTGATTCTTATCATTATAATGAACAAATCAATAGAGGATGTGGAATTTAAAAGGCCACTTTGATAGAGAAGAAAGCGATGTTGCAACAGACAACATTCACGATTGAGAACAAATTTTGTAATGGAACATAGATGTGCTTATAACCCTGACGAGTGGGACAGTAAGAAATGACAAATGAAATTTTAATGAAATACAAAAAATAAAAGTCTTGACATGAATGTTTTTGGACGGCATTATTTTGAGGATTCTGTTTAAACAAAATTATTGTTACACTAACTTCCCATCTCAACCACACCTTTTGAATTTCCCCTCCTTTTTGCCATTTTTCAAAAGGTGCGGTTGAGATGGGAAGTTAGTGTCCGAGTGGATTGAGGTCACGATACCTCAAGTGGTAGAGCAGCGGTGTATCTAGCCGAAGATCATGGGTTCGAATCCCGCTCGTGCCATTGACTTTTTTATCTCAACTAAAAACCTTAATTAATTGTAATATATTAATTGGTCAAGCGGACCACGAAATTACTGAATTTAATGATTTAAAATGAAGTATACTTCACTAAAGCTCTCCGTGGCCATTTCACATGAAGCCGAGAATCAAATAGATTACACGACATTTGAAAAATGGCAAAAAGGAGGGAAAATTCAAAAGGTGGGGTTGAGATGGGAAGTTGGTGTCTGAGTGGATCGAGGTCACGATAGCTCAAGTGGTAGAGCAGCGGCTATCTAGCCTAAGACAGTGAGTTCGAATCCCGCTCGTGCCATTGCCTTTTTTATCTCAACTAAAAACCTTAATTAATTGTAATTAATAAAAACTTTTCATAAATATCTAAAAAAGAAAAAAAAACTTTTACTATTTGTTTATATAATAAGGAAAACAAAATGGTTTAGCATTTTAAAGATATGCTAATATAGGTATTTGGCAATAATAATAACATTTCTCTTGTGACATGAAAAAATTTTGAGCTATTTTCTTTTTGTATTTGTTATTTTAATTTAACCTAATTTTAAAACTTAAATGTCAGCAAAAGATGAATATAAATTTTGCAAAAGTTTAATGCTGTGTTGTAATTTTGAAGGAATAACCTTCAATGGATAAGGAATGAATGACAAATGGTTCTGTTTTATTTTTGTATCATTGTTGCTTCATATTAGAACCTTATTTGGACTTCATAAGCCAGATCTTGGCAATAGATATTGAATTGAATTTAACTGTGACTTCACTTGAGACTTACGGCTTTTTTCCTGCTCAAAATACGACTACTTGTTTAATTTTAGTTATTAAATTGGAAGATTTTTTTTAAATAATGAAATATTGACAGATAATGAAAGTACTGATTATTAATTTGTAGAAACATTAATACCAGGAAGACTAGTTTTATAAGATTTTCTGACAATTCACTGGTTTAAATCAGTAAAATTTAATGTAAGTTCATAGCCGATATAGTGATACAAATCAGATTTGGGAACCCATCTTTTTTGAGATGTTTGTGTCCAATTTAGGTTTTGTTTTCCATTTCTTTTCAAAATAAGTAAATATTTTAAAAAATGTAGCATATTATTTTTGAGTGCATTGCAATTTCTGAAGTCTTCTTTTGTGATTTGCTTTTACATCAAAGCACAGGTAGAATTTATATATGATGTATATAACAAAGAAATGTAATATAATGAGAGAACAAGTATTTATTAATAAGATGCTTGTTGATAAAAAAAAGCTGTTGATGCAATTATTCCGATTATAAATGAGGAAAGCTGATCTGGTGCTGAACTTTTTCATTTGTAACAAAATTTATGCTTATGTAATGATATTTAAATAAAACTTCAATCTCAAAAAATCAATTTAGTGACTATTTTCATCTCAAAATAATTGAGTTATTTAAATAATTATACTTATTTCTTGCAATTTCAGAAAAACTGAATGAACTGCTAATTTTTTTTTAACTTGAAGCAGATATTAATTTATGACAAGATTTTTAAAATTTTGAATAATGCTTGAGGGCTAGCTGGAGTAATTATTTGCAAGTTGCGTGAAAAAGCAAAGCACAGGTTGGAGGAGAATTATTTTAATTTAAGTGCACAGATAATGATAAAAAGTAAGTAAATACAGTCATGTAAGAAGTAAGTTCACTTCTTTGAAAGGAAAATTTATTGACAAGTTGTATCAAAAAGCTGACTAAAGTTAAAAATTTAACAAAGACATTGCCTTTAAATAAGAAAAAAAAGTTTCTTTAAATTCTATTGCTATAAGTTGGTTGTCTTGGCAGGAGAAATAGTAAATAAGGAAGAACAATTCTTGATGCAATTAATTTACTCTTCTGGTCAATAAATCTATGGCTGCAACTACTGGAAAGTCACAGAGTGCATGAAGTTGCATCAAAGTTGAAGGTGACTTTAATCTTAATACATTTAACAAAGAAAATGTCTTCATAAATGAGAAAATCAAAGTAAATTTTTACAATGTATTTGTTTATTATTTATTAGAATGATAGATGTGAAAAATACTGAATTTGCCTTTAAATAAGAAAAAAAAAAGTTTTTTACTTGATGTAATTAATTTAGTCGTCAGGTCAATAAATCTATGGCTGCAACTACATATTTTTACAATTACTGCGGTAGCATCAGGTTTAAGCAGACTTTTGTTTTATTTAAGCATGCAGACAACTATTCAAAATATATAAAACTATGCTAGACATAAAAATTTGCAAGCATTATTTTAGTTTTTCAGATAAACCAATTTACTAGTACTGTTGACAAGTTGTATCAAAAAGCTGGCTAAAGTTAAAGGGACAAAATTTAACAAAGACAATGCCTTTAAATAATAAAAAAAGTTTCCTTAAATGTTATTGCTTATAAGTTGCTTATCTTGGCAGGAGAAATTGTAAATAAATAAGAACAATTCTTGACGCAGTTAGTTTAGTCTTCTGGTCAATAAATCAATGGCTGCAACTACTGGAAAGTTGCAGAATGGAAGAAGTTGCATCCAAGTTGAAGATTTAGTTGAGAGAGTTTAATCCTAATACATTTAACAAAGAAAATGTCTTTATAAAAGAAGAAAACCAATCAAATTGCTATAAGTTGCTTGTCTTGGCAGGAGAAATTGTAAATAAGAACAATTCTTAGTGCAGTTAATTTAGTCTTCAGGTATAGCTGCAACTACTAGAAAGTTGCAGAATTCAAGAAGTTGTTGTCAAGAGTTCAAAGTTGAAGGTAGAGTTTGATCCTAATATGTTTAACAAACAAAACGTCTTTATAAAAGAAGAAAACCAAACTGAGTGTTCAAATTATATTTATTGTTCTATTATAACGATATATGTGAAAAATACTGATTTTTTTTTTACAATTTTTGCTGTTGTATCACCAGGTTTAAACAGAGACTTTTTTGATTTAAGCATGAAGAAGACTACACAAAGTAAGTTTATAAAAGTATGCAAGTATTATTTTAGTTTTCAAATAAACCAATTTACAGGTACTTGTTGACAAGTTGTATCAAAAAGCTGGCTGAAGTTAAACTGTGGTGACGAAATTTAACAAAGACAATGCCTTTAAATAAGAAAAAAAAGTTTTTTTCTTGACTTAATTAATTTAGACTTCAAGTTCAAGTAGGTCAATGTATGACTGAAACCACTGGAAAGTTGCATCAAAGTTGATGATTTAGTTGAGACAGTTTAATACTAACATGTTTAACAAAGAAAATGTCTATATACAAGAAGAAAACCAAACTGAGGTATACAAATTAAATTTATTTATGTATTGTTAGACGAATTCAATTTGATTAGACAGTACAAAAAGCAATTTTAGCTGTGATATCACAAGATTATTCCACAAACTACATTTTTGGTATATTTTTTTAAAATTAGACTTTTTATCGAGATAAGTAACAGTAATGTAAACAGGATGTTGTTTGGTCTTTTAAGTTCCAGCATAACCTCAAGTTATGTTTGAAGGATTTTTTTTCAAAATTGATTATCATCGATCGGTGGAAAAGTGGCGTCGGGATCGAAGAAAGAACTGTCACGTTAAGGCAAATAAAAATATATAAAAAAGAAAGAGAAAACGCAGAGTGAGTCGGGTGATTTTTTTATGCAACTATCACCCTGTCGAAAAATCAATCGCGCACATTCCATATTAAAGTTTCTCGGAAATGACAGAATGCGATTTAGAAAAGGTTCGGTAAATAGAAACGCCTGAAAGTCAGGTAAAATGGTTCGAAAATGATTGAAAGATGGTCAAAATTTTTGATTAAATTTGGGGGAGTCGGCTGCCTGGTGTCGGGCGCAGGCCTTCCTCCGGGTCGAAATATGCTCAAATGTCGGTCATACGTACTTCGAGAGTTCGAATCTCGTGTTGGGTGAGTTCGGCGCTGGTCGCGCACTTGGTCCTCAGGCCTTCGAGTCTGTCCGCCGACGTGTCTATCATGGACTGGAGGACGTCGAGAGTTCGGCGGTGCTCCGCCTCCTCTTCAGTCATTGCTAGTTGCGACGCCCCCTTCAGCTATCAAACTACATCTCAGCCAGACGGCTCTCATTCCTTTTCGAGATCCCGTTCGACTAAAAGAAGGGAGCCGGGCCGAGATCGCCTCCGGCTCCGTCGGGCGAAACTGAAACCAACTCGCGAACGGACGAGAGAGAAGCCATTACTTGCTGACTTCTAAATTCTAAACTATCAGCACCGTCCGCTGCGCTATCAGTTCAGGCTGGCCAACACATACCATCTCAATACGACCAAAATTACCCAAATTCATAATATTCAATTTACATTTTTTTAATAATTACTAACTAATAATATTATCTTCTGTGTAAATTAATTAAATTAAAAAGCAAAATGAAATATTTCTTGTTTTAAAATTTGTATTCAATTTTAGGCGGGGGATTACAGTTTTTTTTTTCAGTTTTACAGCTTTACGACAGCTTCCTTAAAAAAACAAAAAAAAATAAAAAATTAAACAAATACAAAAAAAGAAGAAAATTAATCACCGGGGGGGGGTCGTAAAGTAACAAGTTACAAGTTGGCAGGCGAATTTTTTTACAAGTTGTAAAATTAGTACATACATTTTTTTTAAAAAGAAAATTAGCAGTGATATTAATATTATGGAGTAAATTCACTAATTTCGTGGTCCGCTTGACCAATTAATATATTACAATTAATTAAGGTTTTTAGTTGAGATAAAAAAGTCAATGGCACGAGCGGGATTCGAACCCACGATCTTCGGCTTGATACGCCGCTGCTCTACCACTTGAGCTATCGTGACCTCGCCATGTAATCGGATTGGATTCTCGACGACAGATTGATTACACGTCATTTGAAAAATGGCAAAAAGTAGGGAAAAAAAAAATAGGTGCGGTTGAGATGGGAAGTTGGTGTCCGAGTGGATTGAGGTCACGATCTCTCAAGTGGTAGAGCAGTGGTGTATCAAGCCGAAGATCGTGGGTTCGAACCCCGCTTGTGCCATTGACTTTTTTGTCTCAACTAAAAACCTATTATGGAGTAAAATATAAGATAGATAATTCATGTATTTCTTTCTTCTATGCAAGTTAATATTCAGCCTAAGTGGTTAATTGACGATAATGCTATAATTTTTTAAAATCTGTTTGGTTAATAGCATTAATATTTGCTAATGATAGAAGCAATAAAATAATAATTTTATAATTTGTGTGGAATAAAATTATTCATGGGGCAATTTTTTGTCGTTATACAGAATTAGAAATCCGTTTATCCGGACTTGAAGAGAACAGGACTTGCCCGGATGATCGAAAGTCTGGGCAATCCGAAAATTTGTGATTTTATTAGTATCATGTCATTAAAAAACACACATATGAAAGTGAACACTTTTATTCATATATCAAATAACATTTAAAATAATAGATAGTTTTTATTAATTTTATTTTTGGTTAAGTACGGACATGCATTTCTCGAAAAATTTATATGTAAAAAATACCTAATAAAAATATATGTAATAAAAAAAAACCTTTTCAATGAAAGCCATTCAATGAACAACATGAAACAACAATTTCTAATATTTTAAAATAGTATACACCTTTTTTATTTATTTATTTTTTAAATTTATTTATTTATTTATTTTTAACAAAAACGTGCCCCTCTGGTCTCTTTGATCTTGTCATTAGAAGAAGGGCGATTGGGTGGCCTTCATGAATTTAGAACGATGAATTAAAGGTCCCATAGTGGAATTATGAATTTAAAAAAATATACGTACATTGAGAATTATGAAAAATTTATAATAAATGTATGGTGTTTAGTAACCATTAATTAATGATTATTTGGAGATTGTGGGACTATACCACTATACACTGCTATACCACTGCATATCACAATCTCTAAATAATTTATAAAAATATATTTTCACAAACGGGTCTGGATAATCTGGAAGTCCGGATAAACGGGTTCCCACTGTAACCATAAGGCAAGGGTATCGTTCTATTTTTTTTATTACATCTATAAACCAGTAATGAAAGGGGGTAATCCTAATTTTATTATTATTCTTATTATGATAATAATGTGGACAATATTTATTAATTTAATAATTTGTACAGGTTTGATTAAGTTAGGGAAAAGTAGTAATATGGATCTAATGGTTTGGATTACAAAATGTATTACACAGCCTTCAGATAGGGATATGTTTTTAGTAATAAATATTAAAGGGATAAAAGATATTAGATTAATTTCTAACCCTATTCAAATTCTTAATCAATTATTTGATCTTAATACTAGTAAAGAACCTAAAATTATTATGGTAAAAAATAGTATTTTATTAGAATATTTAAAAATTAAAAAGAAGAAGATTAATGCTTCTGTATTTAGGGTATGAGCCAAAAAGCTCATTTTTTAAATTGAATTTAAAAGAACAAATTTTTAACTACACTCCCCGATGAATCGTATGATGATAGAATGTAACAACATATGCAATACTGTCGATTTATTTAATACTTCTGTTTCCTCATTAAAACGTCAGTTACAGCATAATAATTTTATTTAGTAAAAAAATGTATGTAGTTATAATGCTTTATTATGTTATTTTTATATATATTTTTTTATAATTCTTAGTTATAATTATATAGACAGGGTGTTTAGTGGAATCTTTATGTAGTTTTATTTATAAGGATTTTATTGCCTTTTCCATTGATGTATATTATAGTGTTTAATTCTTTATTAATGTTGAGTTAGTTACTTTTGTATACATTTTTTTTTTTAATAAATGGGTTTTTGAACCTTAAAAAAAATTAAATAAAGTCACTTTCACACTAAGAAAATCACTTTGTTCTCCATTATTACCAACTGCTGATCCCCACACGAATCTGAAATGACAAGACATGAACCGCCATCATGTTAGACAATGAATTATCGAATTTACTTATTGTAACAAAAGTTGTAGGTGTTTTTTTTTTTTTTTTACGCACCACGCGTATATCTTTCTCACATTTTGAAAAATCTTCACTTTCTGCTGATAACTTCATTCTAATTGGCTACTCATCGGACCTTACGGTTTTTGTTGCATTTCTCTTTGTGTCCCTCCACATGTGGTAAATTGAGGTATTTGATCATTTACATACCCAAACATTCATAATACACATTTATACTAATAAACCTAGTTTCCTAATAGTACAACTAAAGTGGAGGTCGGTAAGATGGTTCTGATCCTGCCACCTCCTTCCTTTCTCGCAAATAAATACATTCAAACGGTATCTACAAATTCCACTCGTCCATAAAACTAATCCTAAGGTTTTTTGACGAGCCTGTGGAGTACTCGATATTCCTCGACAGCCATGTCCATTCACACATAACCTCTCATGCTAATAAATACAATCATTCTAGAAAAGATGTAGCATCTCGGTAGTATTACTGCAGCCAAGACGCTGTCGACCCTTCCCGCAATCATACTACAAATGTATTATCACTAACCTAAATCAGTGGGCCTGTGAGTTACAGATATTTAGTCACAGCCGCACCCATGCATGCTAAACCACTCATGTTAATAAATACGTTCGTACAATACAATGGGGGGGGGGAATCACATGTTATATGCGGCTGTAAGCGTTTATTGTTTTTAAATATGTCATAAGTCGATCTTTATGGTCGCTGTTATGCCTTGAATTTCTGAGATATCGGAAGGTAGGTAGCACTGCTCTCTGTGTCGTGCCAGCTGTTCGCATTCTTCTAAGATGTAGTTGTTAATAACAATAAATAAATTATAAAAAAAAGACATATTTATTTTTACTTATTAGTATTTATTTAATTTACAATACATTTTTTAAATTAAAGACAACAAGCAGGCTCTTTAGTTGTATTGACCATCTAAAGGAGTCTACCAATTATTTAAAATTAAAATAACAAAAAACAGTTTTTTATTTACTTGTTTTATATGTTTTATATTGAATGTACAAATAGAGCTTTAAGCCTCCATACATGTACATTTCTTAGCAATAAATTTAATTTTATAAACTTAGTCAAATAAATTTTTTTAAAAACTCCATTGTGATTTTTAACATGTTTCTACTTTTAATTTTAAGTATGAAACTATATTTTGAAATAAGAGGCAATGTCTCAGATAAGAAATGATGAGAACTGTTTTTTTTAACTATAAAACAATAAAATAATGTACACTTCAAAAACAATAATGTACAAAAAAAGTGGCGCACTTTTAAATTTGACTTTTCGCTGATATTTTTTATATTTCAGGTATTTGTTAAAATATTTGTTTATGTGAAAATAACAATACCTCTTAAAAACAAAAATTTAATACAAAAAATTTTGTAAAAATTGTAACTTTGTTGTTTGGTTTCTAATATAAGTTTGGTTTTTAATTGTGTATTATGAAAGCATTAACCACCAGTTGAGCAATTTCATTACAAATCTCAATTAACTTAACTTTCAGCTCAGATGGATCATTATCCAAATATACAAATTATGATTTATGGAGCCTAATACATTGGAAAAATCAAATAGATCATTACCAGTACACTAATTATCATCGACGCCTAGGCAGAAACTATCCATATACATATTCTTTTTTGTTTTAATTATTAAACATGAATTTGTATAACATTAATTCTCTAACAATTTAAAAAATGTTTTAAAAATGGCAAAAAGGAGGGAAAACTCATAAGGTGGGGTTGAGATAGGAAGTTGATGTCTGAGTGGATCGAGGTCACGATAGCTCAAGTGGTAGAGCAGCGGCGTATCTAGCCGACGATCGTGGGTTCGAATCCCGCTCGTGCAATTAACTTTTTTTCATCTCAACTAAAAACCTTAATTAATTGTAATGTATTAATTGGTCAAGCGGACCACAAAATTAGTGAATTTAATTAAAAATGTTAATTGCATTGCATGCATTCACTAATTATATACAATGAAAAACCAAACTTAAACTAGAAACCAAACAACAAACTTACAACTAAAAATTATACAACAAAATAATTAAAAAAAAAAATTATCTTATTTTTTCTTTACATGAGTAAATGGCTTAAATCCTAAAAATTAAAATCCATGTAGAATAACATTTGTTATTTGACTTGATAAATTATTTTGTACATCACTTATACACAAAGCTGTTATGCTTTGTCATTGATTTTTTTTTTTTTGAAAATCTTCTAAATTTTACTGTCTACTTTACAATGCCTATGTATTGTATATGTATTTAATCTGTGTTGTAAATAA